CCCAAAACCCCAAAACCCCAAAACCCCGCATCTAAATTAAATTGGTAGTTTAACAGAATTTAAATTTGAAATTAAATCAATAATCAAATTAATTTAAGCTATGAAGTCAAATAACTAAACAAGCATTAGAAGTGCTACTCATAATAGATTGTCCTCAGGCTAAAAAACCTTTGACACTGCTGCGGATACTCATTCTAGTTCTTCACATAGAAATATGCCTAAGTCAACAGCAATGCTACCACACTAACTGCAAGTTTAAAATCTGAAGACCGTCACAAATTCATCTGTAGGTATGGGAGACACATAAAACATGAACTTATATCAGACTTAAAACTATGGAGAGAACATACCACCAAGTACGTCAAGTGCTGGTGGGTTGGGAAGTGTTGGCAATCACACCTACAGTTCAAATCATCATAAAAGCTAAAATAGTGGAGGTGGAGGTGGATTCTTTACTAATAAGAACTATCCATTGAGCACAACCACACCTTCAGCGTTCTAAAATATCACAAATTACACCTAGCTTCACAATAATATCAGTAATGGCTCTAACACTAATCATGATTCAACTTAACTGTCTCCAAGTAATCAAATGAAATACTAGAATCTTAACCCACAGGCCAATTACTACATTCATGATGGCCCTACTTCCTACTCAAACAGCTGTAGAAAGTTACAGTTTGAGCAGCAATCCCCGACAATGCAATAAGTTTAACAATCCATCCCTTAATCGTTGCTAGAAGATGTACTAAATTCATAGACTGAATGGATAAATATTCAACCTGTGGTCAGAACCACTTTCAAGCACTTCTACGAATTAATTTCGCAGTAAAATATGCTATTCTCACATGTTCAAGACTAACTGAATAATCATAGATGCTAGATAAATGACTTGAGTGAAGTACTAATTGAGAAGGCTGACATATAGGATGTATCAAAAGCTGTTTCTGAAGTTATTCAGAGCAGTATGGGACATAAAGAGGAGATTGAGGAGCTCAAAAAGCAGATAGGATTAAAAATGAACAGACAAGAATGTGTAACTACTTTTAAATCACACCAGTCTATGATTGATGACATTAGGAAACAAGAAATAACCAATATTAGGCAATTAATGAAAGAATAAACAGATGAATATGAGACTATTAGAGAGAAAATAGAGGAGGGAAAGAGAGATCAAAATAAAAAACTCTCTTAAATCTACCGTGAACTTGAAAAACTTAACATAAATCAAGAGCGAAAGGTGAATATTGAGGAGTTCAATGAAAGACTTGAAATTAAAGCAGATAAGCAAATGCTAATCAACGGTTTAATCAATAAAATCAACAAGAGCGAAGCAGATCAGATCGTAAACTAGAAAGTAGCTGACTTGAACAAAGAATTTGAAAGACTTCATTTACAACTAGACAATAAACTTGAAGTAGAGGTGTAAGCTTTAAGTGAAATTGTGAGTAAAAAGGCCAATTAAGATGATATTCAATACTACCGCAAGGAGATTAGCTTTAAACTTGATAAGAACGAGTTAGATGTGTTTAGATAGGAATTCGTAGATAGATTTAGCACATTAGATATGAAGGTAAATGAGAAAAATTAGCATATGCAACAGTTTAAAGATCAATTAGAAATTAAATTAGAGCAGTAAATGAACTAGTTAAGATAGAAATTCTAGCAAAAACTGGATTAAAAGATTGAGATACAGGAGATTCATAGTTTGAAGTCTGATATGAGAGGGTAGATTGAGAAGTTGAATGAATTGATAGGCTAGCTACGAAATGATTAGCACCTTAGAATAGAAAATTTAGCTGATAAGCTGGCTAAAAATATAATAGATACTAATGAAAGAGTTGATAAATGCCAAGCTTTCATTGATAATTAGTACTAGGACTTCTAAAAGATTAAGGACCAGATTAAATTCTTAGTCAAGGAAAGAAGTGAGGAAGTCCAATAAATCTCAGACCTAATGAAAACAACTTAGAAAAAAATCATGTAAGATGTGGGCAAGATCAAATCAGATATTGAGACAACCATTAATGAGCAAAAAGATCAGTTATTTTTGCTCTTGGACTAACAGAGAAATGAAATGGAGACTAGAATAGATGGCGAGATTTCTGATAAAGTCAGAGTTGATGAGGTATAAGATGCATTGAGAAGATTGACTGAGTCTTTCCAAATAAAATTGGAGAATATTCACTCTGAATTGTCTAGGCAGATGCATACAAAGAACGAGGATTGTTACACTGCCCTTGAGAGATTGAAAAACGAAATATAAGATATTGGACTCGGGTCCAGAGGCAAAGTAAGCCAGGAATAGATTGATGCAATAATGAATTAATTAGAGTTTATGAATAAGGATATAATGAGTAAAAGCGACAAGAAAAATGTGTAGTCGTAACTTGACTTTTTGAATGAAAACTTAGCTAATCTTAACAAAGACATGCTGATGAAAGCTAATGTTCATGATGTAATGACAATGCTTGATAAGAAACCAAATAGTGATGAAATTCAGCTAGATATAAATTATGTGAAGAGTTCTTTGCAAAAGACAATGAAAGATTTCAAGACGTCAATGGATCAGTAAAACTAAGTAAATGAGGCTCTGTGCTCTGAAAACTGTGTTGCTCGTTGGATTTGGAAGTAAGGTAGTATAGAAAATTCTTAAGGTATTGTAAACTCTATTAAATGGGACTTGCAGAGTGTGAACACTTGCCCTGATAACTTCCTGTGGAAAAGCGCACATTAAGGTCTGATAATTGTAGATGCTCCAGGCCTTTATGAGATCACTCTAGCCTTCTTCAGCAAGAAGAAGAAGCCACTAATATAGGTGCTTGCCAATGGAGAGGTTATAATCCAAAGTGTTTCTAAAACTGTGTGTAATGCTTGTGGTTCTTCCTGTCCTGTGCAGGCAAACGGTCACATTCAAAAACTTTGCAATGGCAAACTATACAAGATAAGTCTAATTGAATTCGTAGCCTTGCCTGCTAAGGCGTAGATACATGTGGTGTTTAATTATATTAGTAAAAATGGGGATAATATAAGCTCTGGCATGCTAGCTGCTGCTGAGGGATTCGTGGGACTTAGGAAACTGTGAGACAATAATATCAGATTAATATTTTAATCAATATTGATCATTATGTTAATATATAGCTTTTATTAATTTTACTTTTTCCAATTCGATTTCTATTTTAGTGAAACGGGGTTTTGGGGTTTTGGGG